GAATATGGTATGCCTAGGTGTAGTTTTTTGTCGTCGTTGTTATTATTTATCCTGTGGTGTGTTATCTGATCATCCTAGATTGGTTTCTTTCATATTTTGAAAAATTCCTAGCCATTTCTACATCAAATATTTTATCTGCTTCTTTAGCTCTTTCTTCTTCTAGTATTCCCATTATGAAAATGATAAACATTTGTCATTATTCCAGTTTTTCGATATTCTGTTTTGATTTTTAAATTCTTTTTTCTCTTTGCATTTCATTTTGGGAAGTTTCCATTGACATATTTCCAAGCTTACTGATCCTTTTCTTGGTTATAGCCATCAAAGATATTCTTCATTTTGTTACAGTGTTTTTAATTTCTAGCATTACCTTTTAATTTTCTTAGTGGTTCCATCAATCTGATTACATTACTCCTATGTTCTTGCATATTGTTTACTTTTTCTATTTGCATTTTTAGTATGTTAATCAGTTACTTTAAAATCCCAGCCTGATAATTTCAAAATCTCTACCATATCTCAGTCTGATTCTGATATTTTGTCTGTCTCTTCATATTTTATTTTTTCTTGTCTGTTAGTATACCTGTAATTTTTCTTGAAACCCAAACATGATGTAAAAGGCACTGAGATAAATGGGTTTTAGTGTAAAGTTTTGTGTTTTCCTGGCCAAGAGTTAGTCTGTGTTTACTTTTTGCTGTAGCTGTGTCAGAGACCTCACTTTCCTCTAATGTCATTGGTTTTGTCTCCTCTGTTCTGTTTGGGTTTCCCTAGAAACGGCTTCTTAAATAAAATCAAAGCATTACAGTTTTTTCATCTATAAGCTATATTGTTATAAAAGAGCACCGTCAATATGGTGGTAAAGCTGATGGAATGGAAAGCATCCTATAATTCTATAACTACTGTCAACAAAAGGTCAGTGCCACTATCAAATGCCAATAGGAGTCCCCAATCTGATACGTAGAAAAAGGAGAGACTTTATTCTGGTGAACAGTTTGCAAACCAAGAAAAAGCAGTCCCCAGAGAAAACTGAAAATGTGCTCCTCTGAAATAATGGGAGGCCCACTGACATAGAAGAAGTTCCTGTTCTGGTCCCTGATTGACCCATTTCTATGCAAAGAAGGAATCTAAATTTGCACAATGAATTGATCTAAATAGTACTAACCTGATTGGTTGGAGTCACTAATCCTAACTGGTCATTGTAAAGCCACTCTAATTGGTAGATAAAGATGCAAATGAGAATATAAGCTGTGCAAGTCCAATTGGACAGGGAAGATCTCAGCCCATTGATCAAAATACGATTCTAGGAATTTCTTTATAAGAATCTGCTCAGGCAGCAGGGACACAGTGCAGGGGCTTTGCAGTCCAGTCTGTGACTTTTCTCTGAAATACAGCATGCATGAGAGATGCCCTGTAAACAATGGCTGCTAGACCTTGATTGTAAATTTGGGCCCATTTAACCACTAAGAATCCTTTTTGACAGGTATATTTTTTTCTTGAGGTCAGCACTAGGTCTCAGTCTTTTAGTAGGCCTGTTCCCGTGGGCTGTGACTTTCACAAGTGTTTTTCCCATTTATGTGAGGAGGGAAGACTAGAGGGGGATGGAGTTGGATAATTTCCCTTCCCTCCAAGTCAGATGAAGCTATGGTAATGGCTTTTTTCCTTACTGAGTAGGACTTTATCATGGAGAATTCTTTGGTCTTATTTCAAAAACCAATTTTTTTGCTTACTTTTTCCCTAACTATAGCCAAATATGAGGAGTTTTTCTAGAATATTCACTGTGAGAACCTGGAGGCAACCCCACAAAAGTGTAGAAGTCCTCTCACCTTACTCTGGTTCCCCAGGATTATTCAACTCTCAAACTAATCTAGACTCAGACTCTAGAAAGTCACTCTAATTATCTGATAAGTGTTCTTACCAGTTACCAGTTTCAGCAGCTTCTGATTCAGGTAAGCAGATATATATTCTCTATATTTGTGCACCTCTTCAGTTTTGGGGAGGTGGTTTGTCTTCTGACTTTAATTCTCTCTCAATATTTAATTCATTCCATTTTTTCTTGTTGTGAGGGCAAGAAAGATGACTTTCAAACTTTTTACATATAGAGCATAAATTAGAAGTCCAAGACTCAGACCACTTATGAGAAGTTGGTGGCGGAACCCAATTCTCAAGAAAAATGCTCTCTCATAGAAATGAAATATGAATCACATAGGTAATTTAAAATTTTCTAATAACCACATTCAAAAAGTACAAATAAATAAGTGAAATTTTATTTAACTCGATATATCTAATTATCATTTAAATATGTAATTATTTTTAAAAGTTAAATTTTACTTTTTTGTACTATGTGTTTGAAATCTAGTATGGCTTTTACACTTACAGCATATCTTAATTTGGTCATTTCAGGTGCTCAGTCACCACAGACTCCCACTAACCACCCCATCGCTTATCTAAAAAAAAAAGACTAACAAACTGAGTTCACCCTCACCAGGACTATTCCTCGAACACACGGGCACACCACTGTGCTTTTCCCCTATGCTTGAGTGGCCCTTTTCCCCTCTCCCCACAGGTTTGCTCATATTCTTCATTTATGACTCTGTCAATATCACACCTTCAGAGGGCTTTTCCTAACTACCTCATCTAAAATCTGTCCCCCAAACTGTTACCCTTGCTCTCCTTCACCTACTCTGCTTTTTTCCATTCTATATTTGTTATAGTCTGCATCTCCCTACTGGATGTCACTCCATGAGGAAAGAGACATTATGTAGTTCAGATGTTGTGTTCCAGCTGCACCACTCTATGTAAACGAGGACACACTCAGCCAAGGAGATGTTCTCTCCCTGCTACTGATCTCGCTCAGTCAGCTTGTGGGCAAAGGGCTTGCCTTGAGCCAGTGAATACCTTTAGTTGCTGGGGAGACACAGCATAGAATCCTTCATGTTTTAAGCTCTATTTGTCATTCAGAAAACTAAAGCTTACTGTTGACTCTGTGTGCTTTTTTCCTTAAGAGGGGGCTCAGGAGTATACAGACCAAATTTGAAAGTTAAGTCCTGCAGAGATGCTGACCCAGTAGTCAAACCCAGGCCACCCAACCCCTGTAAGCCAACGAGTGCCT